AGCAGATACTGTCCATTGGTCAGCAGATGCTGTCCATTGGTCAGCAGATGCTGTCCATTGGTCAGCAGATGCTGTCCATTGGTCAGCAGATACTGTCCATTGGTCAGCAGATACTGTCCATTGGTCAGCAGATGCTGTCCATTGGTCAGCAGATGCTGTCCATTGGTCAGCCGATTGGAATGCAAGCACTTAGACCCTACGCAAATCAAGGGCCCCAGGCCGTTGGGCTGTAGCCCATCTGTGTGGTTACTGAGAATAATGTATTTTATTGAGTATACAATGAAATGAACTACGTGTAATTAGAAATGGACCAGCTGAGTTTTTTTAATAGGTTTTCTAGTCCCACAAATGGACTAAAATGAGACTTCTTTTTCATAGAGAGAGATCTTGGGCAAGGCCTGGCAGTTCTCTGTATGCGTCTCTTTTGCAGCACCTTGCGTCCATCGTTACTTTTAACTTTATGATTTTTCTAACCTTAATTCCAAATCCAAATGCACAAGTGCAACATAATGTATATGTATGCCCTTCCTTTCGCGGACATTCTAGAAGCACATTTTTGGTAGGTTGTCTACTCGAAAACATATTGTCGAGCTTGTTACCGGTACATGTATTATTAGTGCAGAGAATAAACTGGACCTTTCAGAAATTGGAAAGTCGTCAAACGTTTATTCTCGCCAGACATCTGATTGCATACACACCCATAGACAATGAACCCTATGTATAAATGTTATACTTAATTTAGACTGTTTGAGCAATGTGGTGGCAACCAGAGGTTGGCGAAATAACACCATTCCAAATGGGCAGCATCAGATTAAGAGCACAAGTATAAAAGTATTACATATTCATCAGTAAAAAACAGTATGGAGTACCGAAGTGTGACGTCATTTAGAACCAGAAAGTGTAGTGCAAATGAATGGAGTACGCGCGCGTGTTGGTTCGCGGTCGGAATCATGCGTTAATGTCTTTTACACACATTTTGTGCGCGTGACGTATTCACTTCGGTACTCCATACAATGCTGTTACAATTCTGTAATTTGAAGATCTCCCACTTGGAATCTGTGTGGTTGCTTGCCATTTTTGGTTGTTCTGACAGTACCGACACTCAACTTTGAATTTTTTTAAAACTGTTGCATGGGTTGTTGTACCGTAGTTTTACTTTCATTTTGTATTCATTTATTGGCAATTTGACGTTGGAAAATAGTTGGTTAAACCCAGTGTTATGTATTCACAACTTATCTTACCCTAACTGACACCGACCTTTTGCTGTGAAGCTTCCCAAATCCTGCCAAATCATACACTGTGCAGTGAAATAATTAGGCCTTATTCTTGAACAAATGAGGGCGCTATGACACGAATGCTGTTGACGTAATTGTACAGTATGTACTACGTGTCAAAAAACTTGTCCTACTTTTGATCCTAAAAAACACTGGTGTTTACTGATGGAATTAAACCAAAATTTAAGATCACGTAAACAAGGCATGACAAATTTTATGGAGCGAGTCTCCAGCGCTGTATCAACATTCTGAAAATGAGTACTTTTTTTCGTATGCGGTTAAATCTTGCCCTCTTGCACAAAGCTGATGACACTCAATCCATAAAATGTGTCATGCCTTGTTTACATGATCTCAATTAGATTTAATTCCATTGGTAAACAACAGACTTGGTTAGGATCAAAAGTCGGACAATTTTTTTTGACATATATATAGAGGCACGGCCAATAATCACAGTTTTAAATCTGTATGTTAAGATTAACTGTTAAAACTGCTTCAATCAACAGGATTTTTCTAGTCTTTGTATCCAGAAAATAGTGTCGTTTAAGCGCACTCGTTTGCTCCAAAATACGGCCGATTGCACATGCTTTAATTGTTCAGCCACCAAGCCTTATTGACAGTTATCATGGTTATTGTATGTTTAGGCTGAGCTGTGTACAGTACCGGTAGCATATATCCAAGTCGTGCAAAGCCAGATTCAGTTGAACCTGTGAATTGAAGGAGTAAAGAAAAAGAACTTTACTTCAGATGTATCCATTTTATGGTACGTTTTGATTGCTGACATTTTAAACATTTCAAACCTGTACATATGTGTATGCTGACTGTGTGCTGGCACACAGTTTCTGCAGTGACAATATAAGACAATTTTTAATTTGTAAATACAGTTGTTGGAATATGTGTTTTTTGTAGCTAGATGTATGTAGACATTTTTATTCTGTAAACATTCCACTTTTTTGTAATCTTTTTAGAGTTTTATTATTTCCTGTTTCGCATGATGTACATGTATACTTGTACGCACATGATACATGTAAATGTAAAAATTGGGGGGAAAGCGCATGCAAGTGATCAAAAAGTACAAATACGGTTACCATTGTTGACCAACCCTCTTTGAGTGCTTGCTATATGGTTGGACTTGTCTCGTCGACTATTGGGTCAGTCTGCTAAGGCTGGGGTTGTATCACTGGTTGTCAGTAGCCCTGCTTATTGCTATATACAACAGGGGACCAGGAACAAGATGTTTGCGATAGCGTTTGAATGTACGTACATAGTTAGGGATTATTTGAGCTTGCTACTAGCATGCAGGTAAGAGGACATTGCAAATGGGAGACTTTTGAGACGTTGGTGGCAGCAAACATTCAGGTTCTTATTCCATTGTTTGCGTCATATTGAGCATGCGCGCTTTAGTTTAAACATGACGTACACAATTGAAAAAGGACCGGTATGTTTGCTGCCACCAACGTCTCAAAAGTCTCACATTGTAGTGTCTGATCAAACTCGTTTATTGTAGGCTTTAAGCAATAGGCCTGTTTTATAATATCATGCATGTACATGTGTAATTTTGTAATACTCAATTTTGTAATATAAGGCTTTGAAAACAGTAAACATGTAGACAATTTTAGAATTCACTTAACATTTTGCATTGTTTTCTCAAAACAGTAAACGGTTGGAATTTAGTAGTTACTGCAATTTGTCATTTTTGTTATTGGATCGCTCAACATTGCAAAGTGGTAGGCTTTAACGTTAGGATTTGACATTTACACGTTTAGACGAAAAACAAATTTCAAATCTGTTTGGAAATATTCCAAACGTTTAGGTTGTCTTAATAATGCACGTTTAAGGATGAGGTTTATGTGGACTGCATGCCGTTTGATACAAAACATTTTTCCAAGGATTCAAATATTTCAACTTGGACTCTTGGAGCAAATCTAAACTATCGATGAATTTGAAATAAGCCAATAGAAAGCAAGTCCCTCATCCAAATTCATTTGCGGTTTAGATGTATTTCATTAAAAACACCAAAATATAGCTGGATTGAGGAGTCGATTCAGTAGAAACAGGACCGGGATTACTTTGGATGTCCATATATATGTATTTGAATGTCCATACTTTGGATGTCCAAATTATGTTTTTGACCGTCATACAATGGCTTCGCACTGAAAGCCTCTTTGTGGTGACACACTTGAAATTGTCTGTACAGTCGACTCTAGTTAGTACAAACTCTGTTAATTCAAAATTCTGGTTATAACAAACATAAGGCCTTGGTCCTGACTGCATTAATGTACACAATGAATGGGACTGATGTTCCTCTTTATACAAAATTCTGATATAACAAACAATTTGGCTAGGTCGGAACGAGTTTGTATTGAAGAGACTCATCTGTAGTTATTAATCGTAGTGTGTAGCCAAAGTGTGAACTCCAACTTGCTACAACTAAAGCACAAGATGGACCTTATCAATAGAGCCCTCTAGAGTCTGAAAAAAATAATTTTCTTGGATGAAGTGGAGAAAAAATGTTTACAAATTTTGTTTTACAATTTATGTATAGTTGTTTGATATAAGTGTAATGGGATACACCACCTTTTCGAATGTACCTCAAGAATTTAAGTAAATGTGTGCTGATTGTAGATGCTTACTGGTTGGACATGTTTCAGTTGATATGTTACATCAAGTAGAACTTCTTACTGGCCAGTCTATCAAAGTTTTAAGCACCAGGAATTTTAGAATGTTTCCTAAAATGTAAGGATTAGTGCTTCCCTAAGATGTTCCAAGATTAAAGTTTGGGTGCAGATCTTCAAATTTTCAATATTTTGGGACCAATACTTTGCCAGTTGTGGGATTAAACTGGAAGTTGTTTTTAGCAATATCTGAAATTGTTCATTTTTAACAGCCAGAGTTTTCCAAGCCCCTTGTATTCCGTGTTTAATTGTTAAACAGGTTTTATCGTAGAATTGTTTACAAATTGTACAAAATTACGAATGATGCATGCTGTTGTTTGAAGGTGATTGGAATAACTTTGATTTGAATAAAATTTGTTTTAAAGAGAATAATTACGAGTGTTGTGTAATTTGTAAAAGTATGAAGTAAAAGTTTGAAATAAATTCAATACAAATGCTCAGGCAATTTTCTTGAATTCACAAATTTAATACAGGTTATGCTGTCATGACATACAAATTGCCATTTCTTAATGTCCCAAAATTGTCTTGTGATCGTTACATACCAACCATTTAAGTAGTCAAACGTGACTTTAAATACCATACATGCTCGTGTCAAAATGAATGCAAAATTCAAATTATTACAAATTTAGCTTTTCAAAGGATCCCATGCCTTGCATAACTATGATATCAAAGCGAATGTGATAGCTCCCAAATGTTTGACTTAAATATGAAAGTGCCCTTCAAAATTAATATTTATAATTCCCTAACACGCATTTCACCATCTAATGAAACAGCCGTTCTGCTGTGATCTTGACTACGTTTATAGGGAAAAAATAAAACATTGTGAGGAAAGATTTCCATATACGAAGTTCACTCGACACTCTGTGTACAAACCCTATGAGAGTGGACTGAAAAATTTTAAGTGTTTTCTAAGAAAATGCTTGTATTTTCTCACTGCTCAAATTGACTTTGATGACATGAAATTGCTATCTGGGGGCTTGTTAGTCAATACAGAGGAAAATTAGTGAACTTCGTATATGGAAATCTTGCCCATTGTGACAAGGAAATAACTTTTTTCGATATCAAGAAAATTGAATAATAGTTCTCTTTGTCAATCAACCATCCGGTATCAACAATTTATAATTTTCAACAAAATATAGGAAAGAATGCAGTATCCAAACGCCACTTCTTTTGTCTTGTACAAAGTCTATGGAGGGTTGCATGCAATTTGAAAGTACACATTTTTTCTAACAAAATTGGAAATGTTTGCGTCAGGATGCAACTTTCTTTCCAAATTCAATATCAAGTTGCCTCCACAAAGCATTAAGTATGTGTTGACATTGTGGCATTTTGGGGATACATTGCAATGCAACGAAAAATTTGCTTTAGTGTAAATTACAGAAAGTTTAGCAGTTAATCTGTGTGCGATGGCTGCTGAGCGGATAGTAAAACTATGAACCTGCGTAAAATTTACATTAGAGAGAAATATTTGTTGGGTATCAATCATTTAAAACAAGTACACGCTGTAGCTTTCCACTTTTGCTTTGTTATAAATAAAATGCGACCCCCATTTTTATTATGTCATCCGAAATATCTGTACAGCCTACTCCAACACTGCTAAAAATGCACAACAAAACTTTAGAGATTTAACCTTTACAAAATGGGAACTCGACTACAGTGTTGATTTCACACGTGGCTAATGCATGTGACATTACAATCGTAGCCAGTACATGGAGCCGCGAATTCTGTTGTAGTCCGGAATCTGCTCGATTGGACCTATTGAAAAAGAAAAAGAAATATAATGCACCTTGTCAGTTACCCTGTGCTGTTCATTTGAAACTTTGTAGTAAAAGCTGTATCCTCTCCGAGTGATCCCCGTTTGTTATTTCCCAGGTCTATATCGTGACTTTGGGCGTGATACCTGGCTGTATGGCATAGTGGCACAATTGCAGAATACCCCGCCACTCAATCTATCCACCTCCTAGCCGGCTACGGAGTCACGGTTGATTGCCCTCAATAAACCTTCTCAGCGCTACTTCAACTGGTATGACTATGCGTCATGCTCCACTGCACTCCCACTCCGTATCCGCGTAGCCGCCAACAGGGTAGTTGGTTTGGATTTAGAATTTTTTCAGCAACTCCCATTCCTTTTGTGTTGCTTCGTTCTCAAGCAAATCAAGGGGACTCCCACTCCATATCCGCGTAGCCAGCAACAGGGTGGTTGGTTTGGACTTAGAATTTTTTCAGCAACTCCCATTCCTTTTGTGTTGCTTCGTTCTCAAATAATGGACCCCCACTCAGTATCCACGTAGCTGGCGATTAGATGGAATTGAATTGTTTCCAGTGATTCCAACCGCGTAGCCAGAGATTTTAGGGGTGTATTTCCGAGTGGCGGGGTATTCTGCAATTACTCCGGCATAGTGGTTCATGGCTTCTGACTAGCACCCCTTGAACAAGATATTGACCAATTGGGGAACCACCAACATAGGGCTGGATAGCTCAGTTGGTAGAGCACCGGAACGGTTATCCGGAGGTCGCAGGTTCAAGCCCCGCTCCAGTCAACTTCTTTGTTCAACTTTTCATAAAAGGAATCAGTACAATTGATTACTCCCACTATTACATCAGCAATGTTTTCCCAGCCACACATTTACTTCCCGTACTGGCCTCATTTCTAATGGTCCCTGTTCACTCTAGCACACTCACCGATTCCTGCCACTGCCGGGCACTTGTCGTAGATGTGACGCGAGCAGACGTCTCGGATAACCTTAGCGTTGACTGCCTCGATGCGGGCGTCTAACTCAGGGAGTGGGATACGACGGTTGTAGCACAGCGCCTGGCGACCGATATCCTCACAGATTGGCGTGGAACCTAAGCAAAACCAAGATACAAACATAAGCTTTATAACGGACACTAGTTCATGTGTATGTCATGAAGCATGCAAGACTACTTTTACTGTGTATGTCCACGAACCCGTAGAGACTTTGTGTGATCGTCAGGTTTGAATGGTGATACGTCTAAACATCCCTACAAGTGGTCTTCCCAACTTTCCAACTGTTGAGGGGGCACTTGTGTTTGGAGCCCATAGACAGATGAACCTTAAAACAATGTTGAACAAATTGGCTACACGCTTAAGCCAATGTAATGTGGCAGTTATTTGTGATCAATTGATAAATAGAGTATTTTTTCTGAAGTGAATGCTCTTTCAATTAGAAATGAAAAAGAACAATTGAAGATGATTTTTGTTAGCCCCCCCAAAACACCTGAATCCAAACTTAATGTGGGCAAAACTGGGATTCAGTTGACAAAAGCTTTACATTTTTCTGAAGTGAGATGTTTTAAATAAAAGTGGGAAATGGTAAGATCCGATAATATTTCAAAGCAAAGGAAAGCTGTAATAGTCCACTTTATCATATTGTAACTCATCAGAGGTATTGCTAAGGACTAGTTGTTCCTTGACTTTCCGCTAAGCCAGGCTAAACTGCTAAGCAATCTGCTTACCATCTAGTTGCAGAAGCATGTTAGTCTTCAGCAGATTCTTGGCCCTAGTCACCTCGCTCTCTGTAACACTGGTGCACAGATACATCCACTCAGACTGAGCATGGAACAGCATGTCCTCTATCGACAGGCCATCGCAGACCAAGTAAATTCCCCTGATGGGAAAAACACAGACAGCGTTAATCCTCCTGCTATTTAAACAGTCACAGACAGTCAAATTTCCATCCACTTCCCCTGCTATACTTTTACAATGGCTAATCACCAACAGTCAAATCATATGTCACTTAACCACTTCGACAAGTCAAATTTAGTCAACAGACCATGAACAGACACAAAGCAGGCAAGTTGTGGGCACAGCTGGCTTATCAATTACCCACAGTCGAAGCAAAGCTATGTCAAGTTACATAAACAGTCTGAGCCTGTCAATCCTGATTTATGTAGGCTGGGAACTGTCGAAAACAGTCACTTGATTGATTTTGACTGAAAGGACAACTTGACGCAGAATGTATGTTTGCATAGGAGGGTTAAGTCTAACTCTCCACATACTTCTCACCTCAATCATGAAGGCCCCCTTCAATGGCAAAAGCATTGTATTTGTACAATAGCATGCACAATGATTTCTCCATTGCTGGGGGCCACGTGAGTGTACCGTGTGCCTGGATTCTTCTATAACCACAATAGCCAATTAGATCAACTGCACTGCACATTTTCTGGGATTTTGTTTTTTAATGGAAAATGAAATTAGATGAGAATAAACGGTTTTAAATCTGGCACCGAACCCGAGAACACAGTTTGCATTCTGACAAACGTCAAATCAAAAATTATGACTGTCTTAACCTAAACTTACCACAGTCCTGTGTCCGTGTAGCACGTGTTGAATGACTGGAAGGAATGGCACAGATTTCCTTCGAATGAGGCTTGCGCAAGTCTACTGGCCACATTCTGCAAAGGGTAGAATTTTATAAACGGTTGTTTAAAAGGAATGTACATCATTGGCTTTTGCTGTAATTTTCAGATATGAACTATTTGAGGGGTTAGTATAATAGAAAAAAATATTGTTACACTGACATGTTTGAAGTTTTGTGTTCAAAAATGCTGGAAAAAAAGAAGAAAAATAAAAACATTCAAGTAATCTGGTTCCCTGACTCCACTAAAGATGAAATGGATCAATTTATAGATGCCAGAAAAATGTAAGATAAGGGAACCAGTCTAGCTGGCCTGCACCCGTTCATGAACATGTAACCAATAGCAAACAAAATTGGACCCCCCCAAAAATGGTAAATTTGGAGCAGTAGTTAAAAATAGTTAGGCTTACCAACAGTGGTCGGCCGACCACCGTTGGAAATCTATACAAAAATACCACTTTTCTTGAAAATGACTTCACACCAGGTGCAATAATTTTACAGGATGCTTTAGACTGTCATTTACCAACATCCTAATAAGGTATTTCATAAAAATTTGGTAGTTTTGTTTTTCGATGTTTGCAAATGTTGTTTATTCCCTTTAAACTCATGTTACTAATGAATGAGAGGATGATTTGAACAGTTTTGTCAAACAATGACAGAAACCGAACTGTTAACACACCAAAAATGATAGAGCTGTTGTGATGAAATTGTTTTAAATAATTTCTAATCTCAATTTTTTTTTCAAACTTTTATAATTTCGTAAATGGGTTAAAGCATTTAAACTTACGGCTCCGCCACCACAAGAACGGTCCCAGCTTCCGATCAACTGAAAGGCAAATATACAAAAAAAATCAAAATACAGTCTTCTTTTGATAAAATACGACAGGGATTAACCTTCCTCAATCCTGCCCAAATCCTCCCAAACTTTAAGAAAATTGAAGAATCTAACTTCAGCACTTTAACCCTAACCGAACTCAACCCATCAAAACCCAACAGCAGGTGTTGAAATCTGTTAGAATGGGTACAGTACCCCTAAACTGATGTTTATTTTACATTGGGTTTGGCATACCTCCAGAAACTAAGTCTAACAGTGTGTGTGTACGACTTCCCATGTGGGTGTTGGAAACTGCCAGGATGGGTACGGTTGCTAGTAAATTATGCTAGGGAGTTAGGGTTAATGATGAGCCACTTCACTGAATGCTCTTCCATTAAACTCGTTGCTAGTGTGGTAGGAGTTTCAAAATCCCAACTTTAACAAAGAGCCTTTATAATACTCCAATTTTAATACTGAACTTTTTCCTCATACAACGGAAAACAAATTCAAATCCTGTCTTCTTTTTGTGTTCTTTCTGGTTGATTACATATTGAAATTTGAGATTTATAAATCTTGCAAACTTAATTTTAATTTTGAAATCTACATACCGTATTGGCGACCATGAGTGGTATGTTGTCAGGGTGGGCCCAGCCTACTCCCTCCACGGCTAGCGCGATGTGAGCCAGGGGCATGCTGTCATCACGAACACGGATCTGAAGAAAGCAAAATGGCACATGGTCTCAAGTGAGAATAGAATGAAGCAGATAATGTATTGAGATGAAGAAAAGCCAGTAGAATTTGTATAATAACTCGCGTTCTATTTGTGTCAGCCAGACACGCCAACACTCTCAACATGGAGTCATTTGAGGGAGTATCCTTTAGCTTCTCTTGCTCAAGAATCGTTCGGAAGCTTGTAAGTCCGAACCATATGACAATTTACTCTCGACTTTGGCCTCACATAGGGAGAAATATGGTTATGCACCACTTTTCAGTTGTGGTTTTTGTGTTGTCATTTGTCACAGCGTGAAAGGCTATGGTTGTCAATCAAGCCAGGTGGGGGGAAAAAGAGATTTCACCATGAAAAGTGGCACAAGCCTCTAAATAGATCCTTTCATAAAATTGGTCACTGCTCATTCAACCGTGAATGTAAGGACATGATCAGGGTGTCATTTTAAAGAGGAGATTCAACCCTAACAGAGGATACCTCCCTTTGATTCACATGTGCCCTACTTCTGTTCCAATTAGCAATAATGTATCTTGGTTATGTTTTTATCCACCCTGTATAGCGCTTTAAACCAAATGTCTCAAAGCGCTTTACAATCGTTACCCCTGTTTATCAGGCAATGAGACCAGTTTTTGCAGCAGCTCGAGATCAGCGCATCCTGGTCTCTGCCTTCACAGGTACCCATTTGTACTCCTGGGTGGAGGGCAGCAATTTTAGTAAAGTGTCTTGCCCAAGCACACAAGCACCATGTTCCCCGTCAGGGTTCGAACCCACGTACCACGGCACGTGAGTTGAACACCGTGTCCATTAGACCACAGTGCTCCACGCTGGTTATATCCAACTGCTGGTTATATGCTGTGTCCTTGGGCAAGCCACTTCACCCCAACCTCCTTTGTTCCACCCAGGAGTACGAATCGGTACCAGCATTAGTAGTACTTGCGATGGACTGGCATCCCATCCCGGGAGAATAGAAATATTTTCAGTTGTTTCAACGCCAGCCTGATTGGCCATGTCGGCTCGTGACAGACCTCACTTACTTTGGCCTCTATTAGGATTTGATATCCCCAAATTACAACATGCACCCATATTGTGCCCTAGTGAGGCACAATTAGGGAGACTTTGGGAGACTTTAGGCCCCTTCAACGGCGACCGGGCCCAAATTCTCCTTAAGCCAAAGCCAGAAACAGAGCCCAATTTCATAGCGCTGCTTAACAGCCGACTTTGTGCTTACCGAGCCTCCATCTATTTCATAGGGACCGTTAAGCAATAAGCACAGCAAAAGCATGCTTAACCCCAGAAGAAAACTTCGCTTAAATCAGCGAGGTAACAATAGAAATCTCCATGCGTGCACAACCGTTAGCATGAAATAGTGTTAGCATGAAATAAGTTAAGCAGCAGCATGATTTTCTGCTATAGTAAGCACAACTTTTCTGCTTACTGTTAAGCAGTGCTATCATGGAGCTGCTTAAGCAGAAAATTTGCTTAAGCACGAAAAAACATTGCTTAATAAAACTAGGTTACCGGCCAAAACTCCATGTGATGTACATTGCTTGTGACCAGTATTTAGCTGTTGTTTACTTAGCACAACAATCGCATGGAGTTTTGGCCGGTAACCTGGGGCCAATTTCATAGAGCTGCTTAAGCACAAAATTTCCTTAAGCACAAAAACGTCTTGCTTAATAAAATCAGGTTACCAGTCAAAACTCCATGCGATTGTTATGCTAAGTAAACAACAGCTAAATACCAGTCACAAGCAATGTACATCACATGGAGTTTTGGCCGGTAACCTAATGTTACTAAGCAATGTTTTTTTCGTGCTTAAGCAAATTTTCTGCTTAAGCAGCTCTATGAAATTGGGCCCTGATTTTATTAAGCAAGACGTTTTTGTGCTTAAGCGAATTTCCTGCTGAAGCAGCTCCATGAAATTGGCCCCTGAGATTCTGAAAACCTCTGAAGTCACTCTTACCTCGCTACCAGTGAACCGGCACGGAGGAAGCACGGGGATTTCGTTCTCGTAGTCCGTTCCCAGATTGCCAAAGTGTTTCTCCGCTAGTCCCACCAGCTCCTCGTGGTTCACGCCGCCGGCTGCTGCCATCACGATACGAGGACCCTTGTAGTGAGTGGAGATGTACTGGACTAGGTCATTACGGTTGATGGATCTGAAAAGGAAGAAATCATTGCAATCTATTTAACCTTATGGACTCTATGCTTAACCCTAAAGGGGCCGGGGGGGGGGGGCAGAATCCGCCCCCCCCCTCAACATTTTCCACGATAGCTTCTAAAAAAATTGTTTTCGCGACCCGAGCTGTTATGACTTTTTAGCCTCGAGCTTTGCGCATCTTTTGATACCAAAAACATAAAAATCGGACCACGGGTTGGCCCGTAGCGAACAATTTTCCGGCGCTATGCGCCGTGAAAACTGAATTTTCGCATATATGTCGTGTACACCGAGCAGAATTGCCATTCATACATATGAATAATTAATTAGCCATAATTCCAAAACCCTTTGACCTATAGTCATGAAATTTCTTGGGCATGTTTAGAAAGAGTTGCTCTATGCATGTGCTGAGTTTCAAAAATTTTCGTCACTCGATGGCCGAGATCTTAGGGGGGGGGCGGAATCCGCCCCCCCCCGGCTGAGAGATGGTCAAAATAACCCGGCCCCTTTAGGGTTAAGTACCAACTCATCATTTCAAAAGGTAAAGTCAGCAGAACACACTGAAATGGACATTCAAACACTTTCTGATGACTTCTGATGCTCACGTGAAGATGCCACAGGTGTATGCAAATTTGAAGAACAAAAAATTTGTTGTGAGTACTTTGCACAATATGCATTTTTTTGTATACATGTACCAATCTCCCCCACTGGAGCGGAGGCGTAGCCAAGGGGTGGGGAGGGGATGCACGCACCCCCATCATCACCCGCCTAAGTGCCCTCCCCCCTTCTGGAAATTTGTTAGTCCTATAAGTGGCCATGGTTAACGGGTTTAACAGAAATCAGGCACCCCTAGTGGGGGACTAGAACCCCCTACGGAGAGAACCCTTGCTACACTGGAAGCCTTGCAAAACGTAATCTACTGTTCATGCACATAGTCCATCCACTATACGCACACAGTGGATATCCATATACGTTGTCTCTAAAACTGCATTATCTGGTTAGTTAGTGTGACGTTTGTTCATTTTAAACCACGCCCACTGGCCATTAAGTAGCATTGGAACCATTGGAACTGGAAGTTAACGCAACCTGAGTGTTTATCGAATTGGCGCTAGTAATCAGTGGTGCGCGTGCATGTATGACGTTGACGGATACAGTGGCAATTTGATGAAGCTGTTAAGCACAAAAATGCGCTGTTAGCAAAACTAGTTACCAACCAAAATGCCTTGCAATCTATACTACTTGTGGCTGGCTGTGTTTTTTTCTTCTTCTTTTTTTGGCTCAGTACGTAAATGTCCCAGGAAATATTTTCTACTTTACAGATTTTTAAACAAAAGTTGCCCGATGATAAATTTTTGAGAACTCTTGATTATTTGTTTTAAAATTATGTTCTACTTTGACCCCAAAAACCTAAGCGGATGTTCAAAAACAAAAATTGAAATGTAATTATCAATTAGGAGTACAATTTACAATTGTTTTTGGGCTTATTGATGTGACAAAATTTAAAGAAAGATCTCATTTTCTTATGTGTTGTTGTGAAAGACATATGAAAGTTGAAAACAAATTTTGTTCTTTTGTTTTAACATTGAAAATGAAACAATTGATTTTTCAACCTAGAAATTTTCAACATCCCTCAACCACCGGCGTTACTTACTTGATATTCTCCGTGGGTCCTAGGATGGTCCGGCCTAGCGCTGTGCCCTGGTAGGCAGTAGCGTGTAAGTGATCAAAGATGACTTCCTGGAGATTCGTCTCAACCTCTTGCATCTCACGGAGGATGACCCCCCGTTCTCTCTCAATCTCTGCCTCCCCAAGGGTGCTGTTCTGGACGATGTCCGACAGGATCTCGACAGCTGGGGGAAGACAAAAAACAACATGGGTCACATGCTAAAAATCCGGGGCCAACTTCATTGTACTACTAAGCACAAGATTTGTTTGCTAACCACAGAGACTGTAAGCAGCAAGCATGGTGCTCGGTATGCTTTGTCATAACATAGAGCTAGGACCATAACCATACAGGGACAGGTAAGAAGAATCAACATCTCAATAAACTGCATTTCACTGTGACTAAATCCCATTCCTTCCAATTTATTTCTCTGCTAACCACAGAATACCGCGCTTACGATCGCCATTCTGTACTAACCACAGTACCAAACATTCTGTGCTCAAGCAGATTATCATTAGTTACAGGATGTAGGCATGCAAAGAAGCCTGGAACATTTTTTTTTTATCTACGATATCTTCTCCGGCATTCTAAGCCAATTCCAGAACAAATTTAGGAACTTCAGCTTTCTGTATATTATTTTGACCCCATTTCATTAGTTTTAGTAGTTAGCGACTGAATGGGCCCCCTCCCCACCCCTCCCCTCTACAGATCTGTTACTGCCTCCCTACCCACTGTCCCTTCCTCCACCACCCCTGTAAGGGGGAATTTTCAAATATACACACACAGTACCACATCAAAGGGTTTGTCTGTTGGGCTTAACACATCCCTGCTACCCCAAATCTTTAAAGCTGAATATATTAAAACATGTGAATTTTTCCCATCCAATTTTCTGACCTAAAACGAAAGAGGTGAAGGGGCGGGGCTGTTCACTATATAGTTTGCAACTGGATATGGTGTATTGAAACATAGATGGCTCATGGGGGGGGGGGGCTTGCATAACTGCCCCCTTTTTTAGGAGAGGGAACATTATCACCATCTTTGCCATATTCATATATAACTCTGGGTTCATTGGTATTGAAGGATTCTTCAATGCTAACGGATGAGAAGTTCTCAATGAGAACCAGCGAAATGTAAGATCCATCACTTCCTCATGGTTCATATTCTAAACAGTCAACATGTCCCTGAGTTTGTGTAGTAATCCCAGCATCAACATGATTAATATTTAAATGTTTCTCTGCCAATATACATTGCCTAGCCCATTACCCAGCCCATTGCCCATTACAAGATCCTACCATTAGGCCCCCCCCCCCAAAAAAAAATCGGTCTCTGGTCAGACCGAAGTTCAATTCCGGCGACGCGGTGTTTTTTTTTTTTTTTTTTTTTTTTTTTTTTCCAAGCTTGAATTGTACAGACAAGGTGGGTACTATTTTGCTTTTTTGGGGTCCTCATTATACATTGGTGTCCTCCATAATTTGCCTTGGTGCCCTTTATCATTTACCTCGGTGCAATTTCCCCATTCCATGGTACAAAAATTTGAGGAGGTGCGGCAATAGAGGGCGCTGTTGTAGCTTCCGCGTTAATTTGAAGGGGGAAAAAAGGTTGACGCGCATGATTAAAATCGACACGCGTGCTGACCAGAGACTGAGTATTTTTTTTTTTTTTGCCTTACCCAAGTAACTTCAGGGGTCACGTTCCTGGGCATTGTATTTTCCATTAATTTTGTTTGGAATGTGCTATCACAACTACCGGTAGATACCAATGCATGGGGATTATGTTAAAAGAAAACTGATACCAAGATCGCCTGATTCGGTGCAGGAGTTTTTGTTCTAGAGAATGTTATGTGAAACAAAATCGGGGTCATTTTGTTCCGATGAATTAACTGAACCGCACTTGTAACTTTGACTCAATTGGATAGAGGGATTCATTATTATGTATTAACTGACATACAGATCCTTGTCATTTGATTGGTGGAACTCACATCACGTGACATTGCTCCCGTTCACGCCAGGGCTAAAAAAGTCCCATTCGCACATGGTGAATGGGATTTACTATTCAACAGTTAGGGTCATCCTTGCATGCTAGTCTGGGCGTTGCACGTTGTGTGTATTGTTTCCATGAGCCCGCAGCTACAGAGTTGGGTTCAAACATTTCATGAAGGGGTGGTTTGGAAGAGAGATAAACATTTCCCACCAATTTTGTATTGAAATAGAAGTTCATTTTAACTATAAATCAAGTGACAAGTATCTATAATGTCAGTTACATTGAGTGGCTTTCAATTGTGAAATGGGAGGAATATTGTCGCTCAGCAAAATCTGGACTTTTCCATTTCACTCGGCTTTGCCTCGTGAAACAAAAAAGTCCAGCTTTTACCTTGCGATAATATTCCTCCCATTCCACTCTGAGTCACTCAATATTTGTATAATATACCCTCATGAAAGATGTGTGCTTCACAATATAGGATCTGCAGCAAAAACTACTGGACCGAATCAGAAGATCTTGGTATCATATTTCTTCTAAGAAGATTCTCCATCCATTGGTACAGGTGGTTTGAGTCTCAAGGTAGTGGAAGTATGCCATTGGGGGGTCACCTGAATAGTAGACTGTGGACTGTCAGTTATCAAGAGTCAGTTTGTGGTCTGTGGTGGGCCTAGACTTGATGGCAAGTCGTTAGACTAAAGTGGTTTATGTCCGTCTCAGCGCCAGAATCCGCATACTGGCCATGCCACCGCCGTTCACGCAACGTGAGCGCTACAACCATTCGTGCAAAAGTCATGTACATGTATGATGTACATACACGTACACCGCGCGGCATGGTCAGTACGTGTCAGCACGCATCGGCTAAGAGATGCCTGTTGAATATTCATATTTTCTTGATTCTTAACCAATCAGACTGCTCCGTCCAATTTTGGTAGCAAGTCTCATTGCCTGTGCACAAACTGACAACGAGTTATTCAAGTCTGTAATGCAGTACACGCATGGGATCGCACACGCATGGGGTCGAAAATGTACGTAGCGTCCCCGGTACTAGGATAGCATGCGGTATGTCGTACCCCCGGCACAGAGCTTGGCAGTCGCGCGAGGCGGACGCGATTAAAACCACTCATTACAGACTTGATTTCAAGTCTATGGTGGGCCTGTCATTAATTCTAGTTGGACACGCCCACCACAGCCGTCAATCAAAAATTGTTGCCGTGTCTGTCACTAAAGAATATGTAATAAGGCTACCTCCGCAATGGCGCCATCACGTACAGAGTAGTTGTACAATATTCAATGAAAAGAAACTTTACTGATCAGTGATCCCAAGATAGTTAAACCGTTGACCACCTTATTCCATAAACTTGCACAATACAGAAGTGCAAAGTGAAAGGCCTAGCTGTACTTTAAATATTTATCTGAATGCTAACAGGTGAATTTATATGTAAATAACAAGGTATCGGTTTTGAGGCACATTTCTTGATAAAAAAACAAAAATCGATTCTAAGAGCAAACAAATACAAAACCAAGAAAAGCCACATGTTTAAAAATCTATTAAAAGGGGTCACATCATCATGTGATTAGTTTCTTTTTATATACAACTTAATCAGCGTGAAAGTTTACTTTGTCAGTTTTGATTTGGCATTTGGTCATTTAGAGTATTTAAGTTAACTCTATTTTCAAGTTATCTATGTACGGGGAAAGTGACCACAAGTATGTCAGTTTCGATGTGATGCGCCACTGAAAGTATTTAAATGGAAAATTTGATCGTCAAGATCATTTTGCATTTTCTCACCAGCCTCACCACAGTACATCACTGTTCCAAAGTCTGAACTCAACAATGCATGGTGTTCACTGCACCTTGAGCCTGTAACGCCAGATGCACTCTCTCCATTTCAAGTCAACCAGCAATCAAACTTGACGTCAGTACTCATCTCAGGCCGTCCAGTTCACCAGAGCCATCAGATCTCGATGCAAAATTGGCCGCACGTATTATGGACAGCCCTTGCTGTTGCCGACTCCAAACATATGAATGGCTGACAACTTTGCCTCACATTGGCTGTCAATAAATTGACTTAAAGAGGACAGTTCTTTACAGACTCCAAATCTTTTTTTCCTATTGAATTGGAAGCGGTGAAACACACAGAACACTGGCTACAGGAGTCTTTGGTGGGAAACTACCTGAAACTGAACTTCTATTTCAGATGTTTACTTCACGAACTTGTACAAAGTTTAATTTTCTGTGTACTTTTTGGCAGACTGCCTTGCTGCTGAACAACCTGCAAATATCCTGCAGTCAAACTTGTCTTGCTTGATTTTGTCATCATCTGCGAACCAATCTTTTGTTCAGCTGTCCATCCAGAGAGCAAATTTCTGCTGTTACCCTACGTTATCTGTACAAGACACTGAACCATCACATCTACTGTTATAGACGCTGCAAAAAGCTATACACAAGTAGGAAGACTCTGTGTCAATCATGTGGTCGCTCACCGCAAATATCACCATCTATGCCCAAGCTGCAACGTCCCTTGCTCAGCTGGACATTCTGGTCTGTACCTTCTTCACCTGTTTCTTCCACAACCACAGCGACAACTGCTCCGTGGCCTATTCCCTACCCCAGGTGGATCATCTATTGATCTGGGATGATGAGGGACTATCTCCCTGGCCACCAATGAACGAATCCATCGTTGTACCAAGCAATGAAAGATACAAACTGTTCAACCACTCGTCGCGAATCCTTGCTTTTGAGAATCCGGCAGAGGCTGACAAGTTTATGTATTCCAATGCAGAGACTGTATTGTATGGGTTTGTCCTGCCTGTTCTTCAACTACTAGGGATCCTATTCATTCTGTCTTTTTTCTTTACCCTTTGCAGAGTTCCCTCCATGCGGAATGTCACCAATTTCTATCTGACCAATTTGGCTGTTGCAGATTTGATAGTCTTGATTTTAGAGACCACCCATGAGCAATGTTTGGCTTTGACAACACAGACTGGATTGGATGCGTTATGTTTGGGGAACTCAGCCCAAGCAGTTCTTACTCTCATAACGTACACTGTGAATGTGGGTATTATTTCATCAATAGCCTTTGTAACACTGCTGTCTTATGATAGATATTTTGCCATTTGTCACCCTTTCCAACACCGTAATCTCAATCTGAAGCGACGGGCAATACGAGCAGCAGTTTGCATATGGTTTTTGTCTTTTTCCATGAATTTGATCAATTTCTTTTATCAGTTTCTGATGTTGAATGTACCACCAGTCAAATGCCTTATTTGGCCAACTGAAGAAAAGTATAAACATCTATCGGGTAATGTGTATGGGTTTGGGAAACATGATGCAACTTTGTTCAATTTGAGTCTGGCTATGAATTACATGTTTTTCTGTGTATTCATGTTGAGTTTGATCCTTACTGTCACTTTCAATATCCTCCTGATTAAGGGACTGCATGCACCAAATCCAACTGGTGATCAGACCCACGGTCCGTCAAAACATCTCAAAAGAGTGACTCTGATACTTGGCATCAACACAGCCGTGGTATTTGTATGTTTTCTGCCCCCAGCTATAAGTGCCCTAATGGGAATTTTAGTGCGAAGCAGGGAAGAAGTGGATGCACATTATGTAAATGAAGATGTGAAATGGAAGTTGGATCTGATGAATGCTTGCCTCAGAGTCTTGAACTCTTCCATTAATTCAGTCATATTTAATGCTGGTAGTGGAAGGTACAGGAAGGCCTTCAAGCAAGCCTTCTGCTGCAGAAAGAGGCAGCAAGTACCAACGAACAATATCCCTCTGCAGACATTACCAAGAGCAGATCCTGCTGATCGGATCAGATCATAGGATCCAAAGGCAAAACTCCCCCTCCCCCCCCCCAAAAAAAAAAGAGACAAGAAAAGAAATAATGCAATCCTCATAGTGCTGCAGCCAAACCGAACTAAAAATAGCCAAACATGGCATTCTGAACCTTTGTTTTAACATGTTTAAAGAAATAATTCAACTCCTTCTAGCACTACATTTTTGATGTCCACAAATCAACAGATTTCCAATGTAAAATAAATGAAGTCTAAACACTCTTTTGATTGTCACATGTCTGTAAATGACACTGTACATACAACTATAGACATGATAGACAGATCTTACTGACAGTTGTGTCCATGTAAAATTGAAAAGAAATGTATTACATTTGTACAAAGATTGTAATGGTATTAAACACACTGTATCATCCATGCTTTTATTTTGTGTGTTTCCTTTGTCATAACCCCTTGGGAATTGTTCCTGTTTTATACAATCCTTGCTTTCTATGGGTTCCTCCTGACTTAATTGCATTTGTAATGCTAGTAATATAATTAGATCTCCAAGAAAGTCTTTCTGTGACATTAGTTAAAGAAGATTTGTTTTGGCTGGTTTTAAACACTCTGTTTAAGACCAGTTGGTGTCTGGATGCTGATGTTCGGCTCGGGTCATTGTCAGCATACAGACTCCAGTTGGTCTTAAAGTGTTTAATACCGGCCAAGTACATATTCATTCCCATTCATAAATAGTAATTGATTAAGAGTAATTGAAGTACAGCACCTTACTCAAGGGCACAACATGCATGGCCATTGGGGGGCTCGAACCCACAACCTCACGATCATCAATCCTGCACTCTTCCTGCTAGACCACACGTGACCTTACCTTTGGGTAAATCGTTGGAGAAGCTCTTGGCGTAATAGACAGTCTGTTCTCTGGAGGTGTAGGCATTCAGATGGGCTCCCATGTTCTCAATCTCCAACTCTAGCTCCATCTGAGATCGACTCTTAGTCCCCTGTGAGAAGTCAGAAAGTATCGGTCCAAATTACATTCCAAAAAAATATATTTACATTTCAACTCCATGCAGTGTTCAAACTGTGGAGTTAATTCCGCTTGGACATCATAGGCAAAGAAAGTTCTTGTCAAAATTCTAGAAGTGATATCTGAACCACTGAAATGGCTTGGTCGAATAATAATAATAATAATAATAACTAGAGGTTCGCGTTTGTTGAGTTACAAACGCAGAGTGGTCGGGCTGGCATATTTTCTTGTGTTTACAGTGACTTAATCATAATTGAACTGCACACTACCCCTCCCTTTACCCTGCATCCATTACCCTGTGTTTTTCACAAAGAAAATCACACAACCTGAAGTTGAACTTGTTGCTACCTCGACAAGACTTGTAGGCCTATCAGGAAGCGCACATCTGGTGCTGCATGGATGGCTACTCAAGCATACATCCAGTTGGGACTATTGGTAGAGTTAACGAAGCCTCTAACGTCGTTAGAGTTTATGCAACAGAATTATGCTAATCTTAAAATAAAATGGCTTTTTTGTTTTGTTTTTGTCTTTTGCATGGGCATAATAAAATTCTGCACTAAGGTTACGACATTGGTAGAATTGACAGAGCGACTCACGTCGTTAAAGTTTATGAAACATAATTATGCTAATTTTAAGATAAAATGGCTTTTGTATTGTTTTTTGTTGTTGTTGGTCTTTTGCATGGGTATAATAAAATTCTGCACTGAATTTATGACAACGGTAGACTTAAAGGAGCCTCTAACGTCGTTGGAGTTTATGCAACATATGCTGATTTTATCATAAAATGGCTTTTATGTTATTTTTTTCTTTTGCATGGGCATAATAAAATTCTGCACTGAGTTTACGACAGAAAAGTTTGTGGCTACACGCTGTAGAAATATTAATTTTCAGCATTCAGATATGAGAGAAAAACTGGCGAGGTGCAATTTCAATCGGTTATGGCGAAAAATATCAGAAAATGGACGAGAATATTTGAATTGAATTCATGGTCAGAATCGGAATCGGTAGACTTGAGGGAGCCTCTATGACGTGTTTGGAGCTTAATATATGCAACATTTGATTATCTCAATATCAAAAATAAAATGGCTTATGTCTTTTGCATGCATGGGCTTCCTAAAATTCTGCACTGAGATAACGAAAAAAAAAAGTTTGTGGCTACACTGTCGAAATATTAAATTCTGCATAAAGGTACGAATTAAAGAATCAGTGTTGATATGCGAGTTACGCCGAAAGAAATAAGAAAAAAGACTAGAATATTAGTATTGAATGCTTTGTGTGATTTTGTACAAATTCCTGGATCCTCCCCTGGGTGTATTCTTATAAGAGCTGTGATTTTGCAGGCCCTGGTGAACAAATATGATGAAATTATGTGGTAGCAGTACTATTATTGTAAGCAGTCGCTTTCTTATTTGTTCCAACAAATATAGTAAAACTAGTAAAATGTAGTAAAATGCTTCCGCTTCCTAGTTACATTCAGTTTTTATTGCACTTCCGGTAACACCAGAAGTAAAGGTCAAGCGGTTTCGTGTCCGGGAACAAGAAATGTTACTCAAGGCATAGTCTACAACCTCACACAAAAAAAACACACGATACTCTATTGAGTTCAAAAGATATAGCTCAAACTATTTTGTCAATATTTGCCCTTCCATCACTTTGCCCTTACATTACGTCATGATGACGTAACCAAATTTATAACATCTTCGCAACATGGTACAAATTCACACTAGGTTTTATGATCATCCCGTAAACCGTTTGGAAGAAATTTTGCTTTGTTTTAATTTCAGGCTTAAGTCTTAAGTTTGAATTCACGTAACTTCAACCTTCCGGCAGACCCGGAAGTAAAGGTCAAGCGAGTTCACGTACAGGACAAAAAAATTTTATCAACTAATAGTCTATCTGATTGCAAAGTTGAAACGTAATTGATCACTTTGTTTAAGAGTTATAGGTGAAAGTATTTGGCCACTTTTTCCTCTCAAATCGCTTGTAATTTGACACCCAATGACGTCATCATGACGTCAGAGTAATATGCACCACTTGGGACGAGGGTCGATATATGTTGAAAGTTACAAGTTCATACCGTATACCGTTTAGGAGAAAAGCCGCGGAAACGTATTGTCCGGAAAAAAAGAAAGAAAGAAAGAAAGAAAGAAGATTAATCGTAACAACTCCAATCAGTGGTCGGGTTGTGCCCGACCACTCAACAATATTGGCTTCTTGTATAGTGCTCATGTCCACCTTGAAGTGACGCTCCTGGTGCTCCAATATTACCCTGGCTTTAGCACGGCTGCTATCACGGCGCTCAAGCATTGAAGGAATTTCTTCCTACCAGGTACCAATTTACTACACCTGGGTGGAGAGAGGCATTAAAAGTGAATTGCTCGAGTGCACAAGCACCATGTTTTCTGTCAGGATTCGAGCCCATATACCACGGCACACGAGTCGAACACCGTAACCATTGGACCACAGCACCCCACTATACAATATGAAACCCCAATACTCTGAACAGAGCAAAATGACAATTGGACAAGCACTTTTCAAGACCGTGTACCATATTTCTCCAAACAGTAAAGTGACGTGCTTGGCAAATGCATTACAAAAGGAATATGTTTTCATCGACAGCATTCTTGTTTTGAGTTTCAAAAATGCAAGCATCATCTGTGTTCTTCGTTCAAATTTTAAAGTTATTCGTCTTATATTTTCACTGTAAAGTGAAGCTGAAAGGCCATCGTGAAGTGTAGGGCCCGGTTCCTATAAGGTAACAAAATCCACTTACAAATTATTGGACCTACCAAACTAGTTTGTGACATTCTCAATAAACAGGTATGTCATAGATAAAGGGCAGGGTTTTGATTTTTTTAGGGAAATTTCGGGTGAAATGAAGATGACAGCGCAGCGACAACATGAGACCCGAAAATTAAGATGCCGATCACCGCTCGATGTACCGTGAGCGCACACGGCACGCTGAATCGCAAGGCACAAACCGCGCAGGAAAATCGTGATTTCTACCCTAAGAATCTGTTCAAAATTGCAAAACGGGTGTCATTAGAATTGAGAAAAGTCTGCTTTTGATTGTAAAGGTGATTTTTGAGCAATAAAAAACATTTTTTACTCTAATTTGATCAAAACAAATCAGGGGCCCTACACTTCACGATCACCAGCTGAAAAGCTGACCACAGTACTGTACTGCTGATCCTCTGTTCACATCTATCAAATATGGTAGCTCAGTTACCTTGAATGCCATGTGTTCAAGGAAGTGAGCGGTGCCGTTGTTCTTCTCATTTTCGTACCTGCTTCCTGCATCGATCCAAAGTCCCACCTGAAAATAGACAATCAAGTACAGAAACAAGTCTTGTTGATGTTGTTATAAATATTCGCTGAACCAGGAAAGTAATTGAAAACTGAACAAAGAGAACTGTGACAAGATAGAGTTGGGGTAGAAACATGTATGCCAACCTTACTTTACCGAGCAAATTTCTTGAGGGGTCGATTTCTTGGAGCTGCTAAATTGAAGAAATTTGCTAAGCACTGTAGTTTTTTGCTTAACGAAACAGGTCACCGGCCAAAATGTCATGTAATCTCTATTGGTTATGGTTGGTTCTCCGTTGATTTATGCTTAGCATATAAATGTACTAAGCAGTTGTTTCTACCCGGTAGCTTCATGAAATGGCATCCAGATTAGCCCTAACCCCATAGGCCCTTTTTGGTTAGGATGCATCCTCAATCCTTCAAAATCCTCCCACTGCCTCCAAGGAGAAGTTGGCCTCAGTCCTCCAAAATCATCCAGTGTTTCTTAAATTTGTTCAGTGCACGGGTGACCACTGCCCAAATCCTTGAGGAAGTGCCAATGATATCCAGAAGCAGTGCGATTGGCATGATTGGTATTCATTTTATTCAACTAGGCCTCAAGTATACAATGTACATGGCTGAAAAATAATAAGCAATGCACGGTGCAGCTTCAGGACTTTGGCGCAATGCATCCTCGATGACAGTTTTATTTTGTGCCATTCAGCCAGGCTGGGACCGTGAGTGCATAAAAACGTGCAAAATTACTACTGACGTTTGTTTTACTCACCATCAGGCTAATTAATGCCCACACAACACATACATCAAAATGATATAGTTGCAAGCATGTCACCTGCAAAATTTGAGACCTTAAATCCAATTTTAAGGCAAGTTTTTGGCAGTTCAAAAAACATCCACGTCAATCTCCATGCTCTGGAAATGTGTGCGTGATTCCGAATGTATTCTGGGTAGGTGTAGGAAGAGCCTTGCAGCTTACTTGTTTTTTAATGGATGGCCAAATGAACATAGCGCCCTCTGTTAAAATATGAAACATTTTGCATTCACTCAGATCAACAAGAGGGCGCTGTTTTATAGTACGCATCAATGTGATGTCTCACGTATGGATTTCGATAACTCTCTGCAAAATTAGAATTACAAGCTGAACTTTTGGTGATGCAATGCCCACAACAGCAACTTGGCGAGGCAAAAGTTTCGGGGATTATTGAAGAAACTGTAGTGAGTAAGAAGCTTGCAAATTTGATTCACACTGGTTTTATTATGCAGCACAAACATTTGCACGATATGGATACCTTAAGTTTTGGGACTCTCATACACAGTATTGAGAGTCCCAAATTTTCGGACTACCATTCAGCCTCAATCCTCCAAAATCCTCCAGGTTGATTTTTGAGAGGATTGAGGCTGATTAGCGTTAGTGTACATATATGTCTACAAAGACTAGCTTACTGTGCATGTGGGCATGCCAGAGTCTTCTGAAGCAACCCGGAATCCATTGCTCAGTGTGGTCATCTTGGTTTCCGGCACATTGACGAGTGTCTGTTGGTATGCCGCAGACTGGGTGGACTGGTACCTACGGCCGACAGTCACACTGGCTGGCCGTGCCTTCAAAAATGTAAAATGTATAATTAAGATGAAAAACAAAACTTCAATGAATCTTTATGAAAGGCACAAATAAAAAGTTTATCTTGACTAGAATATTGATCCCATTGTTTATGTTTCTGTAGATATCTAGTTATCTTGTAGTTTTCTGGTGAAATTTGCAGTGAGTTTGAACCAAAATGATCGCAGTATATTCGTGGCCATGGGTCATGTACTTGCGTCCTTTTATTTTTCTCTGGTTATGATTAAAGGGAAAATACAACATTTGCAAACATCAAAAAATAAAACTACCAAATCATTTTGAAATACCTTGCTGGACTGTTAGTGAATGACAGTGTAAAGCATCCTGTAAAATCATGGCACCTGGTATACTGTCATTTTCAAGAAAAGTGCTATTTTTGTATCAATTTCCAACGCTGGTCGGCCGACCAGCGTTGGAAAAACTGGCGTTTTTTCAAATACTGGCCCCAATTGACAATCGCACTTGTTTGCAATCGATTACACACCTATGAACGGGTACAAGCCAGCTAGACTGGTTCCCTGACCTTACAATTCCCCAATGTATGTAAACTGCTCTGTTTCTCCTTATATGGAGTCAGGGAACCAGACTACAGGAAAATGATCATTTTTCTTGGTTTTTATAGCATTTTCGAACCCAAAACCTCAAAAAAGTCAGTGTAACTATATTTGCTATATATTTCCAACCCCCCAATTCCATCCATTTCTGAAAATTACAGCAAAAGCAAATGATGTATATTCCTTTTAACGTGATTAACCAGGACAGAATCTGCCATAGTGAATATCAAGAGGAAAAAAAGTCCAGATTTGTAAAAAAAAAAATCAAAAATTGCTAGAGGAAAGATTCCCATATCTGGCCATTACTTAATTTTCTCTTAAATGACCTATCAGCCATCAGAAAGTGATAATATGTCCTAAAAAGTCAAAATTAGCAGTGACAAGTTTTGAATTTTTACTGAGAAAACACTTACAAATTTTCAGACCAGACCCATTACTTAGGGATTGTGCACAGGGTGAAAAGTGATGGCCAGATATGGGAATCTTTCCGTGCCGGACTCCCTACTTTTACTCCTAGTCCTATGCCTAGGCCTAGCAGTACTACTACTACTAGAGTAGGCTAGCCTTACTTAGCTTAGCTGTGCGTGTTTCAGGTCAACTCGATCTGTGACCAACTCAGTCTGTGACCAACTCGGTCTGTGACCAACTCGGTCTGTGACCAACTCGGTCTGTGACCAACTCGGTCCGTGACCAACGCGGTCGTGACCAACGCGGTCGTGACCAACGCGGTTTGTAACCAACTTGGTTACAGACAAAGATGGTTAGGAATCGAGATGGTTACAGACCGAGATGGTTACAGACCGAGTTGGAGTAACTGTAGAATGCAGGGCCACACCGGAAAAGGTGTTTTTTTTTTAGTTGGATGCGATGTGAAGAGTGGGGTCATTGAGTAGAATGGCACTCTTTTGAGAACGAAGCAGAGTTGGTATATGAGAGATCTCCTATCCATACGTAAGTATAGTACGGTATAAAAAATAGAGGACGGTATAAAGAGTGAATTATTGACAAATACGTAGTATACCGAGTGAGACGGCTTGGGATGTCTTGGATGCGTGGATGCGGGGTGGATGAGCATGAAGTCATAAATAAATTTACCCAGGACCCTCTACTGTACCGGCATTTACCCTAGGACCCACTGCTTTATTTCCCAGTCTAAAACCAACCCTAACCTACCCACTCATTCCGTCTTAGATGTCTGGATGCCAGGATGCGTGGATGCAGGTTGGGCATGAAGTTAATTTTAATCAATAGAGGGCGCTTTATTGGATGCCTGGAGGCGCGTATGCACAGATGTGGGGTGGGCATGAAGTTAACTTCAACCAATAGAGGGCGCTTTATTGGATGCCTGGATGCGCGGATGCAGAGAGAGAGAGCATGAATGATGAAGTAAATTTAAAAAATAATAAAATAGAGGGCGCTATAGAAAACCGACTGCGCATCCACACAGCCATGGATGTGCGGATATAGAATGGAGTGGCCCTGTATTCTAGTTGTACCATCAAGTTGGTTATGGACCGACTTGTCTTGGGAGCAACTATAGAATGCAGGGCCACGCCGGAGCAAGGTTTTTTATTCTGCTTGGAGGCGTGGTGGATAGAGGTCGGCGATGTGAGGATAGGAGTAATAGGCTGACATTGACATTATAATAATATGCAACAAACCTGCAAAAAGTGCTAAGTACAGCGAATGTAGACCCGTGAACGTGGCTTGTAAACTACGCCACGTTCTTATGTCATTTCGAACCTGGCGAACGTGTCCCTCTGACTCCCTCCGTTACACACACTGGACGTTATTTTGCCCATGTAATAAGTACTCACATATGAAGCTGTCTTGAATTCTATTTGTACGTCAAAACTTGCATTTGACGAAAATTGAGGAAAATTCTGGCCCCGGTTCATGAAGTCCGTCCGCTACTGCTAGCTGCCATTTTCTCCCAACTGACGCATGCGCATTGCGTTTTATTTTCGTATGATTCGACGGCTGTTTACTGTCGCAGCTAAAACAGACATCGTTTTAGACAAGTTTCAAGTCCTTTCCTCTCTCACCGCACCGCACGCGGTCGCACGTGCGCCCGCGGTCGCACGTGCGCCCGCGTGTGTGTGCACACACGTACATGTACTGTACACGAGATGAGCCGAGCAACCAATCGTCTGCGGGTTTTTTTTTTTCGGGGTTTCGACATGAAACAGCCGTCAATCTGTCCAAGCGACTCAGACGCGTCCGGGGTTATTTGTCAGGGTCAGGTTAAAATCTAATTTCTACACATTCGTATGGGTCTTTACTGATGGGCAAATTTCGTCGAAATTACACAGCCGAAACAATCGGACGGGCAAATTTAGATTTCTAGGTGAGTACTCAACACCCATACGGAATTATGTATGTCGGATCGATTTCGCCAGGTTCGAAATGAAACAAGAACGTGGCGTTGTATACAACGCCACGTTCACGGGTCTACAGCGAATGCACTTGTCTTCTAAGCTTGTCATGAAGGATCGGAAGGGAGGGCGCGCTTGCAAATGTGTCGGGCGGGGCACAGAGTCGCGGAGGCGTGGAGGCGCGGGGCCCTGGAGTTGCGGAGGCGCGGAGTCGCAGAGACAAGCGCCGATAGAGGGTGCAATTCTCGGCGGTATTTTTTTGAGAACGAAGAATCCATATCCATTTTAAATGGGCTCGCAAAGGAAGGGAGGAGGGCGACGGGGCACTGGAGTCGCAGAGACGCGGGGCCCTGGAGTCGCGGAGTCGCGGAGTCGCAGAGACACGCGCCGACAGAGGGTGCAATTCTTGGCGGTATTTTTTTAAGAACAAAGCATCCATATCCATTTTAAATGGGCTCGCAAAGGAAGGGAGGAGGGCGACGGGGCACTGGAGTCGCGGAGGCGCGTAGTCGCGGAGTCGCAGAGACGCGCACCGATAGAGGGCGCAATTCTCGGAGATATCGACTGCGGCTCCACGCCTCCATGATTTCGGAGGTAGGTCGACTGCGGCTCCACGCCTTCACGCAGCCGTACGGAGGCGCGGATGTAGAGTGAAGTGGCCCTGCATTCTATAGTTGTACCTTGTCTTGAACTGACATGACTGAATTGGTTACCAAAACCCGCCGTGCGTTGATGGTTGAGCGTGTGTCCGAAAACTGGGCATGCTGTCCGCGTGTTCAGCATGTTCAGGTTGCACAAAAATACCGGCACAAATGTAAGCGTTAAAAACCCTTATAAATTGACCTAAAAATACTTTTCTACGTTACCAACGTTGATATGAACCACAAACCTTTACTGGCATTAATAAATTATGAGTTACTATACATTACCAGCGCTGGTGATGTCGAAATTCTTGCCAGGACCAGGGAAGTTCTTGTCAACCAAGACGCCATTTTGTTGAATTAACGATTACGCCGCAAAATGAATTATGCATAACCTGCGTGTTGCATAATTCATGTCCATGTACAAGTACTCGAGTGCACAGTGACGTGCGGAATGACCTGCGCCCAGTGACCCAGCATAAATGATAGCTTGAGCGGTTGTGATCAAACTGACTTTCGATCATCGATGCAGCGTTAATTTCTGCCACGAACGCGAACGGATCGGAAACGTGACCCGTACCCTCCCTGTGCCATTTCGTGAGTAAATGCTTGGTGAGTCTGGTCTGAATTAATATATTTTTTTAAGGAGATTATTTTTTTTATAGACATGAAATGCAGGAGATTGACGACGGCGGTCGGTCGATCGATCGGGTGGGCATTTGATTTGGGGACCATGCATGCATGGGGGCCGGACTGGAGGGGGGGGGGGGGGGGGGGCGGGACGGGGGGGGGGGAGGTCAAAATTCAAACGAATTGCGATTATTCCTACAGGGTTAAGAGTTCACGGTTGGTGCCATGTGATTAAGCCATCTTGCGCCATCACGGTACATTGCGGTGATCGCCATCCTTATTTGTGACGGTTTGGCGTTATTTTACCCCCTAGGCCTATGCAAATTTCCCTCAAGAGTATAAAACCCTGCCCTCAAGGCTCTATGTAGTATAGTTACGAAGTATACCATTCCGGTTTTTTTGGGGGGGCCACCATGTTTACAGTGTCCGGCTCGCGAGTAAGATAAACAACTTCTTTAAGGGAGATTGGCGCGTTCATTCGGTGTACTGCGCGATGTCGCGCAGATGCAGCTGTGGTAAGTGTGTTGTGAATTTAGGACTATGAAATAGGCTACTGACTCACTGGTGTAGTATTGCGCATATGCCTAACGTGAGGATTGTGAACGTTCAACCAATATATAACGGTAATTAACGTAAGCAGGGCCAAGAAATTGGGCCCAGGTCTTTTTCATCTGTTTAAGACTGACCATATGACGGCCTCTCAACCAATGGGAGGGGGCCGTATCATAAGTCCGATGCCTCAGTAGGTCCGACGGCTCATAAATCCAAAATTTCGGACTTATGAGGCGTCGGACTTTATGAGGCATAAAATTTTTGTATTCCACGTCATAGGTCCGACGCCTCTTAAGTCCGACGTCGGAAAAACGAGGCTTTTAATTTGTCGGACCTACGTGTTATCAGAGCTATGAGGCGTCAGACCTATGAGGCGTCGGACTTATGGGCCTTTATTTGGTTAGGGGATGCGATTTTGTCTGACTTATGAGGCGTCGGACCTATGAGGTGTCGGACCTATGAATATGAGGTGTCGGACTTATGTTGCGGATCCCAATGGGAATGGGTAAACTGTCTTATTTATGAATGTCATTTCATTTTCTCTACATTTCATTGTCAGGCGCCGTCACTGTGTCGGAGTATCGTCATGGCAACTAAGTTAGTTCAATGGATAACGGCCTTGGTACTATTCGCAAGCGTATGGAGTGCCTTCGTATTTGACCTTGTCCCAGTCCAACTTGATCCTAGGATAAAAGAAGTAATCGTGCCAGTAAGTTTTCAGTCTGTGTTGTGTTCATGCTAAAGCTGTGCTGACTGTTGAACGATTAAATATTGAAATATTTGATCAATTATCTAATAATTGATTGCCACTTTTAACCCTCCGAGCAGCGAAGCGGTGATAAAATTCTCCACATTTTCCAAATATGGGCATAATTTTTTTTCAATGAGCCAATTAGGCCAAGCTTCTATGTAATCCTCACCCCAACTATACACCACAAGCCTGTAGACTACCATTGGCCAGGCCCTAGCCACTCCGGAGTAAGGACTGTTGAAAGACAGAAGCCAAGATGGCGGCTCATGCCTCTGTGCAGTAATTGGAGAAAGAGGCGGCCAAACCCCTTGTGCCGCCGATCTCTTTGTGTCAACTCCTCGTGCTGCCCAGATCTCAGACAGGTTGTAAACAATCCCTGACGATGTGAATGACCTATGTCTTGTGCATGTACAGGCATGCGGGGGTTATTGACCTACTGACACATGTGGTGATAAAATTCTCCATGTGGCAACTCCGTGTGATTTTTTTTGCTAAGCTGCCCGGAGGGTATTTGATATGAAATGAGAAGAGATATGAAAATGGTCATTGAGCCCAGTGTAAATTCCAGCCTCGGGTTGCCGTACATGTGTCCTTGGGCAAGGTACTTTGTCACTCATTGCTTCTCCCCACCCAGGAGTAAATGGGTACCTGTGAGGGCAGAGATTGTTATGGTAATTGATTTTAGCTGCCTTGCGCTGAAATGGCAGCATTGTGCTATATACTCCCCAGGGAGCTGAGATGGTATTTGGAATGTGTCAGGGTAATCCGGTTCGTAAGTGTGACGTCATCTCAACTTAACCATGCGTACTGGACACGCTGTAGCGTTGGAACCAATGGAACCGGAAGTATTGCCAAGGGGGCGCTAGTAATCAGTGATGTGCAGGTGTGGATGACGCAGTCACTTACGAACCAGATAATGATGTTGCCTTTGAGTATAATTGTTGATAGGTGCGCTTTATAAGAGAAAGAAAAGACTGTGCCAATGGTTTTCTGCACATATTGGATTTTTGGAGGATTCAATTCCCCAGCAAAAATCTTGAATTTGTACATTTGAAAGTTTGCATCCATTCCTGAGCATGGGGTGTCAGATGCAAGTTGGTATAACCTCACCGATTTTTGTTTTCTCAATTTCTTTGTTTCCACAGCTTCCAGTTTATTTGCTGATAGTCTTCGCGGTAAGTGAAATCATCCATTCAGTTTCGGGAACTGCACTGGTCGAAATAGGGACCATTGGAAATGATGGTATATGAATGCATCTCGGAAAAAAACAACCAGCTAGTTAATGTCTCCATTTTGTGTGGTGGTTATATTTCATCGAACCAAAATGTATACATCTTAAGATTTTGTTGTTAAACGCTGATTGCCCACAATGTGCCAGGCGAAAAACTGCAAATTTACATGTAATAGTGCTTGTTAAACACTAATTTGAGCCGCATACCTATCCCATACGTCTGTTTCTAATGGTCCGTAATTAAAAACATTGGTCTTAAGCAAATACGAATTTATCATCCATGGAAATTGCATGGCCCCGTTGTCAGGTTAAAAAGACAGCAAAAATTGGAAGTGCAACATGGACAAAAATGCATACAAGTACACTTGTTTTTTTCAGTGACATACATTGACATATTTTCATTTTGCTGTATTTGTGTTGCAGTGTTTCTCATTGGCGACCATTGGTTACCGGGTAGCGACGTTCAACGATTGCGAAGAAGCTGCTGAATCTCTTAAAAAGGTAGAAGTAGAAACAAATTCAGTGTTGTAGAGTTAATAGCGTTACATTATCGTTCATTTTTGTATGCGGTGTGTGGGGTAAAAAAAAGAGTCAATTCGTCGCAGCACGAGCACAGCGTGAGTTACGAAAACACGATTTATTTAATTAAACTGTTACGATCTTATTGAGACAACATGCACTATCACATTTCATATTAATATTAACAAATTGGAAAGGAAAGGAATATTTTTGAGAAGGCGTGGACGAATGATTGCGAAAACACGTACTGCACGTTGTGAATAACAACACCAAGTACACGATAAAAATCCATTACTAGCCAATTGCGATATCGAATCAGGATACAGGAAGAAAGTTTCCTATCCAGGGCTTACTATTGGAAACACGGTTGGAAATAAAGTAAGCACTGGGGACGAGGTTGCTTAACACCTATCTTGTCTGTCATTGGCCATTTCCGAGTTGTGTTCCCTTCAAAACAAAATGCATCTCAAGCACAAACATGCGCAGGCTGTACACACTGATGTTTTTGTCCCATTTTATCCCAGTCCCAAATTCCTGCACAGACAAAAAGCTTTAGTTTCTCTTCATTTTCTTTTCACTTTTCTTCATCTGCAGGAAATCGAAGAGGCAAGAAAAGATTTGCAGGAGAAAGGTTTCAAGTTCACGTGACAGTGGGCCCCAACTCGTCCCACGTAGGCTTTCACTTTGAAAGACCACACTGACTCTTTGTACAAGGATCCTAATAACATTGGAGGACTTTCAGATATATAAGCTTCCAAAATGTTGGGTCCCGCTATGAACCTAAGAACAGCAAGTAAGACCTCTGTTTTGGAAAGTATGATTTAAAATGTACAATTTTTTGCCAATATTTTAGTGATAAATGTATGTATATCACATTTGAAAATAAGGACCCGTTTTGAGGCCTTGACTTTGGTCAAGGTTAATTGGGTTGGAGTTGTGGTGAGAGAAATATGAGATTTCAAATCCGAATGTTATCCAATTTCACCGGAAGTTCCGAATAAGCTCACAGTTATGCCAACAAAACTTGTGAGTTGTCACATGCAACATTTGCCCTCCCAATGATTGGGTATAGTTTGCAGGATTAAATGACCATCTCGACCTTTACAACACTTCAGAGCTATAATGTTAACATTATGGGTAAGAAGTTAAGAACTCTGATAATAAGCCTTTTCGGAGTTCCAACTGCGCATTCGTAACCTGTGACAACGCGCATTGTTGGTCTCAATGGCCTTTGACATCATCGCGCCACTGACTTTACAAAAAGGCTGTTTGTGCATTGTGAGTACTGTCAAAGGGCATTTGAGACAAACAGTGTGCGTTGTCACAGGTTACGAATGCGCGCAGTTGGAACTCCAAAAAGGCTTATTCAAATGAGTTCGTTTAGCTCACCATGACGTCATTCTCGGGGCTCACCTGGGTCAGCCACCACAGACCCTGCTCGTGGAGCAGAGTCACTGGTGGAAGTACATCACGCATGCGTTGTTCATTCCCTAGAAACGGACAAATATGGCGGTGGGCCAGCGGAAATCTCAATTTGACTTAAAAGATGACTTTATTTGAAGTCTAAAGGTAATCATTTATTGAGTTCATTGCGACTTTTGAGAGTTATTATTTCAGCCCAACTGTTTGAAGTTTTGCAATTGACTAAAAAGTAGTAAATCTCAAACTATGACCCAATCCGAAACGGGCATTTTTTCAGTGGCTACGGCCACGGCTAAGGGCGTCAAGTGAGGATCGTGATGGCCCGCGGTTGAGCGTTCGATTGGCCCGGCTGTTGTGACTAACCTGTCTGCCTTTACCTGTGTCGAACGGGGTGAGCTAAACGAATGCACCCATACCAAGAAGACCACAAGCAAGTAAATGCAGTTACAATTAAAAAAATCACGGAGCAAATTAAGGTTTGTTCCAGTTGTTCTAGCCCGTGTCACAAAAACATGGAAGACTTAATTTTTGTAAGGTTGGTTTTGAATATCCAGTTTCCAAAATCCAAACCGAGTAGTGAAATTCAAACCGAATTTTTTAAAAATCTGGATTTAAATCCCACCACTAAGTTGCTCCTTTAACATGTGGAATATATCAGTGACAAATAGGGCTGTGCTATATAATTCCAATTGGAATATTAAAAAAATATGAGTTGTCTCGAGAAGATGACCAAAAGCGCCATTTTGTCATTTTAATCGTACTGTATAAGATAGCATATTTATAATCTTTCAAGTTTCAGCTAGACTAAACGGCTACATTAAAACATAAATTTATCAATACATGTATATGATGGTCTAGTGATTGTGTAGTTTAGGACCCTGTACCCTATAAGGCAACAAAAACCATTTGTTGGTTATTGGACTCAACATGAAACTAGCAACATTACAAATCAACAGGATTGTCGTAGATAGAGGGCAGGGCTTTTATTTCTGAGGTGAAATTTTGGGGTAAAGCGACGATGAAGACGACAAAACGCAAAACAAAAATAAAGATGGCAATCACCACAACGCGCAGTGAACACACAAAACCGCGTTGGTTTGCATGGAACCAACTGTAAAATGTGTAAGCAAACCGCATTTTCTACTTCAAAAGAAACTGCTCAAAATTATTTTTAAAAATGATGTCATTAGAATTAAGACAAGTCTGAGTTTAACCCTCCCGCTATTTAAACAGTCACAGACAGTCAAAATCTACCTCCACTTCCCCTGCTATACTTTTAACAAAGGCTAGTCACCAGCAGTCCGATCATATGTTGAGCAAGCACTGTGACTAGTCAAACTCGATCAACAGACAAAGCAGGCAAGTTGTGGTCACAGGACCATTAGTCAACTACTGCTTGAAGTGTGGCATAACTTACGCCTGCGCACTAATAGCAGCGTGCGAATGTCTCTATTCAAACGCTGGTCAAAATGTCATCGCAAAACTTCTGGATCCTGGCTCCCTGCTGTACGTTATGAATGTGTGCGGCTATTGGTTACCAGCGAAGCAACCTGCCCAGCAGGCTGGTTCCAAATAGTCGACTAGCGTAGTCAACCATCGTCGACAAGACAGAGTTCGAGCTAACTTTAGTCGAACTATGGTTAACCATTGGTCAACAACAGTTCTTGCGCATACTTGCCCACAGCTGTATCAAGTTAATACTTAAACAGTCCCAGCAGTCAATCCTGTTTTATGCACGCTGGGAATTCTTAACTGTTGAAAACAGTCACTTGTTTGATTTTGACTGAAAGGACAGCTTTGCACACAATGATTGTTTGCATAGGAGGGTTGATAGGTGGGAAAAGTCATTTGGGAATGATAAAAAAAATAGCATTGACTTTAATTTGACCAAAACTAAAGAGGGGCCCTACACTTCACGATCGCTGGGTTTTGTAATATTTATACATGTTAAGCCCATTGTTCATGCATATCCTGGATCAGTGGACAATTTACATCCCAATCTATGCATGCATTTATTGCGATTTGCTACCAGGTCAGGCGCCTGACTGGCACGTGCAATTTCCGACTGGCGCATGCATTTTAGGCTAGCACATGTAAAACTAATTTGCCGTGTTTCAAATATTTGAATATTTAGTTGAATTCAAGTTCAAATAATCGAATACCAAATTATTCAAAAATGCACAGCACTAGCAACAAAGTTTTATCGTGCCTGGCACTTATTGTGCCCAAAACGGCCGTGTCAGTTGGACATTGTTTTCAAATAAGAAACACACACACACACCCCCATGTTTGTTTTACATAGGCTATGTGGACATTTCTATGTTTTTGTGTAGTTAAGAAAACTCGGTACAAAAAATAACTTTACTTAAACTGTGAAAACTCTTTCCACCTCAAATTTGTTTTTCGATATCCTTGAATGTTTCTCTTCATTCTGCGATGATTACCCTAACCCGAAAATGCCTCTAAACCTGTTTTCCAGAGAGGGCGAAACGTTATGTGGACACGGCTTAGTCCACATAATGTCAACACAACCTGCATTATGTGGACCTCTTTTGTTCACATGTCCACATAGTGACTGTAAGACCAACTCATTCTTGTTGACTTCTTACACGTAACAAGTTGTAACACTACGTCTACTCGCGGACTCTGACATGCATGAACAATTAGATTGAGCTTTGCGAGTTCTTTTGAGCTCCTATGTACGAGACACACTGTGTACGCACTGTTTGTCTGATTGGATTTTTTTCCCATGAATATCATTGCTTTTCATGAATACAAAACTCAGCATTGGCTTGTGAAAGGTGCTAAAACAGCCAGAATGACAATACAAGTTAAAGAGAGAAAAATGGGGAGAATAAACATTTTGTGGCCTTTCAAAAGGTTGGTTTGGAGAAATAAGGGTAATTCTTTAAATTTTGGATCACTTTTTTTTCCCTGTCCATGTTACATCTGAGATCTATGATTTTAAAATTCTGATGCACTCCTTAATGCAATCGTCCTCCCATAGTGATTATGAGCAAACTTCCTAATAAATGGAGCATTTACCTACCCAACAAATCAAAAAAAAATGTTGAAGTCATTCTTAACCAGTTCGCGCCTGGAATATTTTGACATTAACCGGACAGAGACGCGCCGGATTGTTTTTCACGAACTTCGATGCCAGGCAGGTTCAGGCCGTCATCTGTGGGTAGCACACCCAGATATTTCCGGCCTCGCTCGCTGCGAGCGGGTCGCAGACAGATATTTCTGGCCTCGCTCGTTGCGTGTTTATTCGTCATCCGTTCCGAATACCACAAAACCTTTACGTGTATACACGTCATCCTGCGTGAACTGGTTAAGTACCAAGGTACAGGGACAGGAAAAAAGGTACACTTTATGCACCCTAAATGTAATAGTATAATAATAGTGGTTTCTTGTATAGCGCTCGTATTCGTCACTAAGTGACGCTCCTGGCGCTCAATTATTACCCTGGCTTTAGCACGGCTGCCATTACGGCGCTCAAGCATTTGAAGGAATTTCTTCCTACCAGGTACCCATTTACTACACCTGGGTGGAGAGAGGCAATCGTAGTAAAGTGCCTTGCCCAAGCGCACAAGCACCGTGTTCCCCGTCAGGAATCGAACCCATGTACCACGGCACATGAGTCGAACACCGTAACCACTGGACCACAGCATCCCACGAATGACCCATGACCGAGTATGGTACATGTATATGAATAATAGGGTATGGATACTTGCATTGCCTCAAACATAATCATTTACTGTGAAGATGGTCAATGATAGTGAAGTTGAACTGTCAAAACTAAAGATGGCAAAATAAGTTTCCACAAGCACAGGAATAAATGGCCACAAAGAAAACAACCATCAAATGTTTTTCCACATTTCTTTTTAATCACTTCAGTCATTGGTTTAAATTTATACATGTTTGCGATATGGCCTCGGTTTAAGTAAAACCGGAGCAAAAAATTTGTTTTAAATCCCTTCATATTTAAAAAAAAAATATTTTTATTATAATGTTGGCATAAAACAACTCGTCAACATAACATTTAATAACTCACTACAATGAGACATTGCCACTTGGTTTTCATAATCACTTTGTGATCACATCCAGCAATATAAGTATGAAGTTGCTTAGAGCTACTTTTCAACTACAGCTCAAGAGATATTTTCATCCACATGATATATATTTATCAGGATATCAACCTAAGTGGCATGTCAAGTTGAACTTGAGCCGAGTGTGCTCTGATTTTAACCCTAACCGCCCTGAATCCTCCAAAATCCTTTTTGCAAATTGGAGGAATTTGCAGCTAGGATTGAGGTTACATGGCAAAAGTGCATTGCTGATTTTGGAGGATGCACTGTGTCAAGGTCTTGGGCCGGACCTTGTGTTGTTTATGGTCAGCCGTGCATAACTTTAGTCCTTGATTATAATTGACATCCTCCGCACTGCTCCAGGATGTCACTGCCTCTGTCTCAGCCTATTGACAGTCACAGCCGGAGGATTTTGCAGGATTCAGGCAGTGGTCACCCCTCCATGGACCATATTCAAGAAATAACGGAGGAATTTGCAGGATTGAGGCTATATGCTATTTTTCCATGAGGCCAATTGGAGGATTTTGCAGGATTGAGGCTACATCCTAGCAAAAAGGCATCGGGAGTTAGGGTTAATGAAAGAAATATTGCCCCAAAAGGTCCAAATTCATGTTGTTGGACCAAGTCACACATTGATGAAAAAGGATACATTTCCCAAGGTCATTATCTTAAAACTCGTATGTCTTGCCATATTTTTAA